TCCTACCTGCTTCTCACCCCTTCTCTCCCTGTGACCTGGGCACCCTTCCTACCTGCTTCTCACCCCTTCTCTCCCTGTGACCTGGGCAACCTTCCTACCTGCTTCTCACCCCTTCTCTCCCTGTGACCTGGGAACCCTTTCTGATCCCTTGTCCCGCCTTCTCTCCCTGTGACCTGGGAACCCTTTCTGATCGCTTGTCCTCCCTTTCTCTCCCTGTGCTGTGGGAACCCTTCCTGCCTGCTTCTCACCCCTTCCCTTGGCTTCCTCTTGACAGGAGGCAGTAATGAGCTGGAGGCTGGCATCACCCAGTCGTTCTCAGTTCTCATTTCCCCAGGGAGCAGGATAAAGGCCTTAATAACTATTCTGGCTTGTCATCTGTCAGAATCTGCCTGCCTCTGCCTTCCCGTACCCTCCTCCCTGCATGGAGCTTCCCTGGGCAGACTCAGCCCTTGTCTAGCTTATCCAGCTGCTGGGTCCAGTATAAGGCAGGGTGAGGTGTGGGGATGCCCATGCACCCCAAGTCCAAGCAGTGCTCTCCAAGCCAGCCTAACAATAACAAAGCCAATGGTTGCACCCTTACCTGATGCTTTCTATTTCTCAGTTCACTCAAAATCCATTGCAGAGAGTAGCAGATTGATCAATTCTCACCAACCTCAATCCCTAACTGCCTGAAAACTGGACTCTGGGTGAAGAGGTATTACTGGTCATGGATTATTAAGTGGTAGTGAAAGCATTTTCTTTTTTATATACTTTTCTGTGTTGTCTTAGGCTTGTACATGAGCTTGTATTATTTTAGTTATCTCACAAAAAAAATAATTTTTGAAGTACAATTGACATTTACCACAAATAAACAGGTAGAACAGGTTTATTCTTCATTGCCAGCCCACTTTATAACTGTTAACATATTAACTTCATGACAGTTAATAAAGGTTTTAAGAAGAATTCTACAACAACAAATAAGTGTAATGTAAAATGAAGTTTTCGAAAGCCCACATGCTTTGAAGGCTGTTCTCTCAAAGGACCCATCTCTGCTAAAGCGCCTGCCTCTGACAGGAAAGCAGGGAAGTTTTTTTCAGCCTCAGGTTTTCTTAAAGGGACTCCTTGCAGGTTAACTCAAAAGTGAAATCGAATTAACTTACTACCAAACAAAATTGAGAAAATAAAATATAGCCATGTAGGCATGAAATTAAATAAAACCACCCCCACTGAAAGTCCATGCACAATAAAAGTACTTCTTTCAAATCAACAAACATCAGTGTTCTCAAAATCCAGAACTCTTAAACTGGAACCCAAAGAAGAACTTACCTGACTTTTGGAGACAGAAGCGACTGGGCGAGGAAGGAGGAAGTTCTCTCTGTCTGCCTCAGCTCTGTTTTCCACCTTGCACGCTTATTAAAACTTCCTGAGGAACTTTAAAAAAAAGGAAACTGTGGCCAAGCTCCACCCCTGATCCAACTGAGTCAGTATCTCCAGGTAGAAACCAGACAACATAGTTTTTATCACCTCAGGTGATCACCATGTGCACCAAGTTTGGAAACCACTGCTGTACAGCCTGATGAAGCCATAAATTTAATGTTTGGACTTACCACAGATAGACAGAGTTGTATCATGACAAAGCCATTCTGTATAATAGAATTATCTTTGCAGTCGCATTATTTTGGTGTGGCAAATGCAGAGAAGAAAAGGAATGAAAACTATCTTGCTAGGGCAGAACAAGGAAAAGGAGTGAGAACAGTGTGCCAGGCATTTACAAATGTACGTACACATGCACGCACACATTGACTCCTATTCTCAAGCATTCTGTCCCTTAATTATGAAATCTCTCATCTTAACTCACACAATAAACATTCATGTAGTCTACTAAGTACCAGACACAGTTCCAGACACCAAAAATTCACCAAAAATCACCTTTACTGATTTCAGGAAAGCAACTCTACCAAAAAAAATTAAAACTTAATAGGAAATTATGCCTCCAGATTCCGGTTTTTCCTGCCAAGTCTGGAGCTTTTCTACTGGTCCTACTAGTTCATTAAAAGCAGCAGCCCTTGGATTCCTCTCAGCTTTGATGTTCAGCAGACAGCATGAAGCTTTGCCACGTGACTGGGCTGCAACTCCCAGAAGGGCGCTTGGCTCTGCCCTGGCTGTGCTGCCCTTTCTCAGGCAAGTGAGTCCCAACTGGAGAAACACCTCCTTAGGGACAAAGACTCAAAGGCTTTGGTATGTACCAGTCTTCTCAATACTAAAAATTTGCTTTGCTCAAGGAAAAATTTTTGATTAATGCTGTGTAAGCAAACTCAAAGCAGCATTAAATTGATTAAATTCATGGTCACTGACAAACACAAATTGGGTAAGATTTAGAAAGAATTAACACTTAGTTATGGAGATAACTCTGCATACCAATAGAATGAAAGCGTCAGTTTCTCTAAATGGCATGAAATCTTTGTGCAGGCAGTAATGATCTATACTTGGATATCGTTATCAGTTGCTGCCCACCAATTTCTTTCTCTGTGGCTCCAAGACTTCCTGTTCTACTGCCCAGCCATTTCCATAGGTCCTCTGCTTTGTCCTCAGGCTGTTTCTCTGCCACCCGGTTCTCACAGGGCCCCCTGGCTTCCCCTGAGGATGACTCCCCCACAAAGCCTTCTCTGGGAACAACCACTCTTGTCCTGGGATAAGGAGGAATGGTCACGAATCCTGCTTTTCCTCCTACTCACACTTCTTCCAAACATTTCTTCCTTCAGTCACCCTCAAGGGTCCCCTTTGGAGACTTGCCCTGACAAGCTGGGCTGCCCTTGTCCCCACCAGAGGCTGCTCTGGTGCTCTGCACAGGGTCTTGCTGTCCACACCAACTGCTACACCACCACCCTCATCATTCGCATCCACTGTGTCTCTCATTTCCCTGACTGTCTCTTTCCTTCCTCTACAGTAGCTCACTCTCGTGGTCACATGTTGACTGTTGTCATCACCAGAAACCTGTCCTGTTGTAAATTTCTAAACACCAAAATACTTCCATCTGGTGAGAGCTTCTCATCTGTATTCTCTTGAAACCTAATTTTCAGTGTTTTCATAACCTCCAATCATTGGACCCCTCCCTATTCTTCTATAATATCTTATCAGTCTCATCTTTCTAGTATCCAAACTGCCCCAAAGTAGGAAATATGTTGATGGTCAATAATCATAAAGGGGTTCCTGTGGAAACTGAAGGTTCTCTGTGTTCCACTCCATAACTCTCTGTTGTTGTGGAACACCTGTCACTGACACTGACTTGTAACATTTTTCTCTTCAGAACCTATGATGCAATGAGTGTTGCTGGTATCCTAAACAGATTCCATTTACCAGCCAGTATATCCATCCCTAGTTGCTGTCTTGGCTTGTAATTCATTGATGCCCTTTCTCTTAGGCAAGTTATTCTCAGCCAAATGGGAGCCACCTGCCTGGGCACTCCACCTACCAACCAGGGCACACCCCAGACATGACTCACTGGCACAAGCGTATGAAAGGGCAGCCTTCTTGCAACAGGTAGGACTGACTTTATAGGGTAATCTCTGCTCCAGGCCTCCCTCATGTGATCAGACTGAAGCCAATCTCTAGAAACCACATGATTCATCAAAACGTTTCTCTCCCTGTCCTGCTTCTTCCAAAGAAGCACCTACCCCCAACCCCCACATACACATACAAAAACCACCT